CATAATTATTTCAACAGACGTCATATTTAAAATTTACACTTAAATATGTTTTTCGAAGATAAATTTTTGTTTTTATTTTTTACATAAATTTTTATTTTTATTTGTATTTTTGTAGTTTATAAATTTATTTTTTATCTTTATCATTAATTTGATTTATTAAAAATGGTCAAATATTAATTTTGTATACAATATTTTGTTTATGTGATTTATTGGTGAATCATAATTTAATATTATTTAATCAAATTAAAATAGTCATAATAAGTATAAAAAGAAAAGTACTTTTAATATAGTTTGGTTCCGATATATATTTTTTGTAATATGATTCTTAATAGTAAAAAGTCATAAAATATGAATAATTAAAAGATAAAATAATTGTCAAATAATTAAATATAACACAAATATATTTATGTAAATAATGTCTGTGAATATGATTTTGACTCTTTAAAATATTATTGTGAGCTATTTTAAAAATTTATATTCTGATTCTTGTTCCTCGGAATCCCCTCTTCATTGCCTTTAGCATTCTTGTCTTTGGAGAAATTAATAGAAATTTAATTGACTTTAATCTAATTCTAGAAAAAGTTAGAATTTATCTTTTTAAGCATAAAAATTTTTAAATCTCCAAGTGCTCATGACCTTCATACACTATTTTTCAAGAATCAATGGGATATGTTAGTCCCTCATATTTTAAGTTAGTCTTAGACATGTTTAATAACACTAAAGAAGTTGATGCTATTAATGACATTATCATCATTTTAATCCCTAAAGTTGATAATCATAAGTACATTAAATAATTTAAGCCTATATCTTTCTATAATGTTAGCTATGAGATCATAACTAAAATCTTAGCTAATAGGATTAGAGGGTCCCTACCTCACATTATATCTACAAATCAAATCAATTTCATCATAGAAGATGAGATATAGTTATGATTTGATAAACTTAAAAATAGGTATAATTACATGATTATGATTTGGAGAAAGCATATGATAGAATTAGATAGAGTTTTATTTTTGAAACCATTCAGTTATTTGGATATAATCAAAAGATTTTTAAACTCATAAATCAATGTACTTCGATTACATTTATGACTATTAATTGGAATAATATTAGGACTAAGAGTTTTAACCCTAGTAAGGGTATTAGGCAAGAGGACCTTATATCTCTTTATATTTTTATTCTATACACAGATAGATTGTCCCATTTAATCTAGGACCATTTTAATAGCAGCAACTAGGTCCCTTTCTCTTTAATAATGCATGGCTTAAATTTATTATTATTATTATTATTTTTGCAGATAATATAGTTCTAATTGCAAAAGCTTACATTCATAATGCTGAAACAATAAAATCCATCTTGAATGAGTTTTACTCTGCTTCTGACCTTTTTATGAATAGAGAAAAATCTTTTGTTTACTTTTTCAAAAATTGTGATTCAACTATTAAATATAATATATAATTTATTTTTGTGGTTAAGAGCTCTCCACATTTTGGTGTCATACCAAGCTCTCCAGGAAGGAGTTTATTTTCATAATTTGACCAAATAAAAAACAAACTCTCAACCTAGGAAATAAATTCCTTATTCCTTGTTGGAATAATTACTTTTGCCTAATCATGTATTATGAATATACCTAATTGTTTCATGCAAACAATGGTTATCCCCATAATTGTCTGTAATGAAATTAATAATATTTGCAAAAGGTTCATTCGAGGATCTTTGAATAATAAGAGTGACTATTTATTAGGTTGGGATAAGATTTGTAAACCTAAAAGTGAGAGGCGTTTAGGGTTTAGGAATATTAGTCTGGTCAATTAAACTTATATAATGAAGTTATTTTGGAGAATGATCACATCCCCATATGAGTTATGGACCAAAGTCTTGTGCAATAAGTATAAATTTTCTATAGGGAAAAACCTTTTTTTGAATACTAGCCCAAAAAACTTCTTCTTTATGAAAGAGTATAGCCTCTGTTTGGGATTGTTTTTATTAGGGTTTTGATTGGATAATAGAAGATGGCTTAATAGCTAGGTTTTGGGAAGATGGTTCAATCCATGATAATCAAGTGTTATCTAGTAGTGCCACTTATCCTATTTTTGAGAAGGAGTTAAGTGATCTAGTTGCTTTTTTTTATCCACTAGGGCAACTGGGACTGGAACGGAATTAGAAATATGCTCCCTTGTTCTATATGTGATCTAATCTCTCATATTAACCCCCTTCTATAGCCAATGGTCAAGATTTGTACATTAGAAATTAGCTAACAATTGTATCTTCTCAATTAAATTGACATATAATTTAATTTATGATAATAATCAAGCTAATATTGATTATAGTGAAATTTTTAAACTGATTTAAGATTAGAATGGTCCCTTAGGATTGCTACTTTTTTTTTTATGGAAAGCTGTTCATGTTAGACTTTTAACCAATGAAAAAAGGTCTTATCGCAAAATAGTCAACTTTCCTTTATGCTCTAGATGCATGGAGGCTGTGAAATAATAATCATGTTCTTAAGAATTGTTGGATAATCAATACTATTTGGAATCAAATTCTTTCCTCTTATAGGTGGTTATCGATTTACAATTTTAATATCATGGTTTATTTATTTTCTATTGATAAACACAGGACACATAAAAATGTGTCTCTGTTTTGAGGCCATCGAAGAATTTTATCTTAATTCAGCTCTTTTTATTTTAAATATTTTTATCTATTATGGGAAACATTTGTTTCATCCTTGCAATTTACTCTGATGTTACATAACCACGCTCTATTTTTTTCCATCCATTTAAACAAAAATGATATATGGATGATAGACTTTTCTATGTTGAAAACTACTGCAGAGTGTAAAGAGGGATCAAAAAACAAAGTTTATTTAATTTGAAATTGAGTCAAATTGCTTTTAATTGTTCTTCTATTACATATGTTTAATAAATGAGTTATGTTAAAATGACTTGCATCTTTAGGATATGGCCCTTTCTACTTAAAATTGTCAATATATCTCGTTATGATATGTAGATATTCTTTTTGTGAGAATAACTGGAAAGACAGGGTGTGATTGGAAATGTGTTGAGGAAGAGCCTAACATACTTTCACCACGAAGCAACTAGTTATTGCTACTCCCATTATATGCTTGGAAGTTGGAACTTCATGCTAACTAGAAAACAAGCACACACTTTAACAAATATTGTTGATAGTCAATCTAAATTTAATGCTTTGTTACGAAGATATATGATATTGTCAGAAAAGATGGTTACGGGAAAAATGAGTTTCCCAGCAAAGGATATGGGTTTGTAATCAGAATATATTGTTGAATATCCTCAAATTGTAGCCTACAGCTTGGAGAAGATGATTATCCATTTTTAGTCTTTAAAATCTTGAACTCAAATGGTTTGCTTTAGAATAGTTTTCACTTTGGTTCCTTTATATGCATTACTTAGGAAAACTTTTTGGAGAAATTTGTCATCAACTTACAAATCTTTAATGTAATAACAAATTTTAATGTAAATTTACTATTTTTTGGATGTTGAAATTTAATTTTAAAACATAAGATTGTATTTTTATTACATTATTCCTTTTTTATATAGTATTACTTAATTATTATATTATTTGTTACCGATTATATTTTTGTAATTAATACTTTTTAGTTATTTTAATATAATTTTAATCTTCATAATTAAGTTAAACATGTAAAAATATTTTTTATTAAAAATGTTTATTATATTTTTACATTTCTAATGTAATAAATACTTTTATTTATAATAAGATTTTATTATTATTAAGTACTTAAATTCAACTCAATAAAAAATCAATTGTAATATTATTTTATTCTAACCAAGAACTATATTTGTGTCAAATTAAGTTCATATTATTTAATCATGTTAAATAAATATATTATCTAATTACCTATCCATCATGACTTGTTTTATTATAAATAAATTATTATGTGTGAATATGATATAATACATAATTTTTTTAATCTATGTAATATTATATATGATAAAAGTTATACACAGTAAATTCATTTAATGTAATTAAACATATTTATTCGTTAAATAATTTTATTTTCAGTTAAACTTTATTATTTATTAATTATATACATATATATATATATAATATTATACAAATTAAAAATTGAATAAATTGTAATTATCCTAGCATTCAAACACATTAATCATTTATTAATCTTAAATTTAACCCAATGGTATTAATTATAATTTATCGTTTGACCACATAAATTAATGACTTCACCTTAAATGGACATTTAATTTAGTAAAATTTAAAAACCTGGAATGGTGGGACTAAAAGTATGAAAACGGTGTCGTTGGTTGAGCCACTCTCACCTTTACTTTTACGTACAAAAAGTATGAATAAAAAAACACTGTAGATATAAAATAATGATTTTTTAATGTAAAATCTTATTATTATTATTATTATTATTATTATTATTCCCTTCACCTTTATTGTATTGAGTTAACATTTTTTATTATAATGTTTGCACCCTTTTTAATAGTATTATTTTATTATTATATTATTCTCTTACTTATTATTTTTTTACAATTTATTTTTATTTATTGTTTTAAGTATTTAACAAGATATATAAAAATAGTAAGCTTTTATTAAACAAAGTTTTTAATTATATTTTTATATATTTAATATAATAAATATTTTTACTAGAAATTTATGTTTTAAAAATATTTAAATTCAATCTTTATATTATTTTATCAAGATTTTATTTAGTTTTATTATTTTATTCCTGTAACTTATTTCAGTGGTGAAGGTTATATTTTAAATAAATTATTGTATGTCAACCTTATATAATAGGTAATAATTATTCTGTGTTCAAACATCTTGATAATTTAATTCAATGATATTTAAATATGAATTATCAATAAATCACATAGTTGGATAATTTATCGTAGAAGTCACCTTAAAACAGATATTTAATTTAAGAAATAGAAAAATGGATCGGGGGGGAGAATAAAAGCACGAAAACGGCGTCGTTGGGAGGGGGCACTCTCTCCTTCACTTTTGCGCACAAAAAGTACGAAATTCTGATTTGCTGAGATATAGAGCAAACCAAACCAAACCCAAAGGAAAAACCATCCCAAGAAAGCAGCTCCCAAGATCCGATCAGATCCATTCGACCCTCTTCTCCCTTCCTTCTCTCTATTTCTCTCTCCATTCTCTCACTCTTCAACTCTCTCACAGATCATTTTCCCCATAACTCGTTTTCGAATCGCTTTCACCCTCGCCGGTTAGGGTTTCTTCAATTTTTTGTCCAAATGTGCGAGATCGACATCCAGGGTTCGTGAAGTTCTTGCTCTCAAACTCTAAGTGCATGAAGCTTTGGTGTTGTCTATGTTTCACCTTAGAAGAAGAAGAAGAAGAAGAAGAGCGTAATCTTCCCAAGCATATGAAGGAGGAGGACATTTTCGGAAACGACGTCGTCGTCGCCGCCGTGCCTGACGCCGACGGTGATTCCGGAGATGATGAGCTTGATGAGATGGTTAGGGTTATGTCTGCTCCTGTGAACGCGTTCGGGTCGTGGCCCGTCACGCGCCTCTCCGAGGGAGAGAGCAGCTCCGCCGCCAGCTTGGAAAGTGCCGCCGTTGATGAGAGTCGTGATTTGAGCCACAAACGCGCCAAGTTCTACACTGATTTTGAGTGAGCTTTGCGAAAATCGCCTGTGCATTGTTATGAATATGATAGTTCAGTGCATTGTTGGAAGACAATTGTTTCTATGACTGTGTTAGGAAGTTAGATATTTTGTTGTAGTGATGGTTAATTGTGTTTTGCAGTGAGCGTCACTTTGCCAATTCGGCATCTTCGAATACTGGGAAATGCAGTGTGTCTGCTGAGTATGGTGATTATGATTATGTTCAAGGCTCTTCTCTTCGAAACAGTGACACTTGTTATGATGCTTTTACATTGATGTGTTCTGGTAAGGAGAGTAACTTTGATTCTAGGTGTGGGAAAGATGATGAAGCATATGATAGTGACATCTCAAATGTTGAAGATGCAGAAGTCAGAATGGATCTCACGGATGACTTGTTGCATATGGTGAGTGTTCTGCAGGGAAAGAATTTTTTCTCTGCTATTTCTTTCTCTTTTAAGTAAATTTAGATTCTTGTAATATCTTGCGATGATTTTAGAATCCCCTTTTCTAGGAATGCCTTTTCTCTTACGTTTTGTTTCCCTACCTGTGAAATTTAGGTTTTCTCATTTTTGGATCATCCCAATCTGTGCAAAGCTGCCACTGTTTGTAAGCAGTGGCGAACTGCTAGTGCTCATGAAGATTTCTGGAAGAGCTTGAATTTTGAAGATCGTAACATATCTGTAGAACAATGTGAGTTTGTGGTTATTTGTGACAATTTTTAGCTTTTTATTGCAGTGAGCCTTTTGACTACGAGTATTGGGAATGTGTTTTGTCACTTTTGTGTCACTAGTAGAAGTGTACTTATCAATCCTGGATAATAGCACTTAGTGGCTAGCCCCCAAAACACTAAATGCTATAGCGGATGGCCGCCCCACCAAGATTATAGATACAGCATAAATAATTATCGTTTACATTTATAGATGCTAAAGATAAAATAGAAAATCCAAATTAAAGGCATCTTCATAATTATTAAGTCATGGATAGTCTTAGAGGAAAAGGAAAGTGAGCAGCAGAATATAAAAAAAGGAATGCAACCTGGTAGCTGCTAAAAACAGTGAGCGGTGCACTGGGTTGAGAGAGTGCGGGTACTGTTTGAGTTGCAGTGGATGCCAACAACCACTAGGGAGGTTGGGAATGGTTGGATATACTTCTGGCAATCAATGGACTAAAACTTTGTATGGGTGGACGAGATTAACAGAGACTTGCTTCAAATTGTGAATAATGCTGGAAATGAATTAGGGAGGATTTTGAATTTTTTGCGGCAAAATATGTTGGGGAAATGACAAAAATATGATAAGTCAGAAAATTGGGGTAAAAGGGGGCTTTAACAACCATGATGCAATAATGGTCTGAGTGGTCACAGATGGATGCAATTCTGACTGGCATCATATGCAAATGTTCCACATACTTAAATTTGTAGCGGTGGCACTATCACACCATTATCCCATGTGATTAATAACTATGAGTACAAGTCTTGCTCCAGTTAAACCTTTTGATGGTAAATGTGCTTATGTATAGCTCTATATGTATTTACAGTTGAGGACATGTGTAGGCGTTATCCTAATGCCACTGCAATGAGCATATCTGGTCCTTCTATTTATATGCTTGTCATGAAGGCTATCTCTTCATTAAGGTAGGTATTTTTCTGCTATATTGCTGTCAATCAAGTTATTGTGGACTCCTTTTCAAAAAACCTGGAAAAGTTATCTTGAACTCCTGATCCGTTAACATCATTTTCAGGAACCTTGAGGTTCTAACATTAGGAAGAGGACAAATAGCAGATACTTTTTTCCATGCTTTAGCTGATTGTTCTATGTTGAAAAGATTGAATATCAATGATTCTACACTTGGAAATGGCATTCAGGAGATATCTATTAATCATGACAGATTATGTCATCTTCAATTAACAAAATGCCGCGTGATGCGAATAGCTGTCAGGTGAATATGCTTTATGGTTTAATTGACATTTAGTTGTTGGTTTGCTGATTATTAAAATATGTTTGTTTATTTATTTATTTATTCTTTTTCAGATGCCCACAGCTTGAAACTATGTCATTGAAGCGCAGTAACATGGCACAGGTTGTGCTTAATTGCCCTCTTTTGCATGAGCTTGATATAGGCTCTTGCCACAAACTTCCTGATGCTGCAATACGTGCTGCTGCAACTTCATGCCCTCAACTAGTGTCACTGGACATGTCTAATTGCTCATGTGTCAGTGATGAAACTTTGCGTGAAATAGCACAAAGTTGTGCTAACCTTAGTTTTCTTGATGCATCATACTGTCCTAATATATCTTTGGAGGTATGCTTTATATTCTATAATCACTATTTTGCATATATTGATTGAATGAATATCAGACTTTGTTTGACATGGTTGCTTGTTTTCTCTTTGAAGTCTGTTAGACTGCCAATGCTGACAGTTCTAAAACTTCATAGTTGTGAGGGCATCACTTCTGCCTCAATGGCTGCAATAGCTCATAGTTATATGTTGGAGGTATGTTGTTTGTTCTAGATATTGATTGTGTCTGAATCCCTGAGTTGAGACTTCAAGGATGAGCAAATGTTGCCATTCCAACTGCAGGTTCTGGAGCTTGACAATTGCAGTCTTTTGACTTCAGTGTCTTTGGATCTTCCACGTTTGCAGAATATTAGATTGGTACACTGCCGCAAGTATGTTTCTGCTTTATTTTTCTTCTTCCCCAGAAAAGTACTGTAATTCTATTATTCTTTTTTGTCTTTCTCTGTTGCTTGTGTTGTTGTCTAATTCCACACCCTATCCCTGTTTTCATGATTATCTTTTCTAATTCATTTTTTGAATTGTTTAATTGGCAGGTTTGCTGATTTGAACTTGAGGACTGTGATGCTTTCTTCTATACTGGTCTCTAACTGCCCTGCACTCCACCGTATCAACATCACTTCAAACTCACTGCAAGTATGTCTTGTAATTATTCCTGGTTTTTTTACCCATGCTCATGTAGACTACAGTAGTGTAAAGGATGGACTTTGTGGTGATGCAGAAGTTAGCATTGCAAAAGCAGGATAGCTTAACCACATTAGCTCTGCAATGTCAATCTTTACAAGAAGTAGACCTCTCTGAGTGTGAATCTTTGACAAACTCGATATGTGATGTTTTTAGTGACGGTGGAGGATGCCCTACGTTGAAATCACTAGTTCTTGATAATTGTGAGGTATATGAATATGTCCCCTTTTTTGGCATTTGCTAGATTCACTTTACCAAATTGGTGGTGTACACTGACAAATTACATGGCTTTTGCACTACATATTGGTTCATTTTACCTGATTCTACTTGTTCTTCTACTAAAGTTATCTAGCAGTGGTGCCATGACTAATTAGTTGAAATATTGGTCTGTGGAGTTATTTCTGTGACATTGATATAATTATGGTGTTACAATATTACTTGCATAAAGCATTCATTGTCACAGTATCAGCATTTCAAAGAACTGATTTGATCTATTTACTTCAACATGGATCTGTTAGCTGGTGATGAGAAGTCCTTTACAATGAATTATGCCTATCAACTTGTTGTACTTGTGAGAGATTAGGTTTCTTTTAATTCCTGCTTTTTCTTATGGATGATTTTGTTGGTAAATTGTTCTGGACTTCCATTTTTACTTGACTTGGTGTTTTACTGAATTTAGAGCTTGACATCAGTTCGGTTCATAAGCACCTCATTAGTCAGTCTTTCCCTTGGTGGTTGCCGGGCAATTACTACCCTTGATCTCACATGCCCCAATCTTGAGAAAGTCATTTTGGATGGTTGTGATCATTTGGAAAGAGCATCATTTTGTCCTGTAAGTGGTATTTATTTGTTAGTTGCTTTATACGTAATTTTTGAATTCTTATGCTTTTTAATTTTATCATTTGGCGAAATATTCTAAATCTTTAATTAAAACTACTAAATTTTAGTATAAAACTTCTGCTTGTGGATTGCACTGTCCACATGGTTTAAATTTTTTTAATTGCACTCCGAGGGGTAATTGATGGGTTAAGGCATGGGACTAGGTCTACATAATAACCTCAAGGAATTGATTTTGTGGTCTGATATGATATGCAGTAGCTAAGTTCATTCTTTCTCTTTCTTGGCCATCTGCTTTTCTAGGTTGGTCTTCGTTCTCTCAATTTAGGAATATGTCCAAAACTGAACATACTCAGCGTAGAAGCAATGTTTATGGTCTCACTTGAGTTGAAAGGATGTGGCGTGCTATCTGAAGCATCCCTTAATTGTCCACTCTTGACATCTCTTGATGCTTCCTTTTGCAGGTGATGTTTTATTTTGTTATGTTCTAGTGTTCTGCTTGTATGTGGACTTATCTTTATTGCTTCTGACCTACAGCCAACTCACTGATGAATGCTTGGCTGCAACAACGACCTTGTGCCCACTGATTGAGTCATTAATATTGATGTCATGCCCATCAATTGGTTTTAATGGACTTTGTTCTTTGCGTCGGCTCCCAAATTTGACTCTGCTTGATTTATCGTACACCTTCTTGGTGAATTTGCAGCCTGTTTTTGAGTCCTGTTCACAGCTTAAGGTTAGAGTTACTATTTATTGTCAACCGCATATTTTCACTTCTACATGGAAGAGTTGGCAGTTTTGGTCGGAACACTATTTTTAGTAACACCTGTCAACAAAGTCCTTTGCTTTTTTCCCCTCTGACGTTTTAATAATGTGTTGGGTTCACCGTCCTCATCTTGAAATATATTTTTGTTTTTATTAACTCAACAGAATTGTGTTCACTTTTGAAGTATAAAATAATTGGTAATAATATGTTTGGGTGGGTGCTGGTATATCTTGGAATGGGTTGGTTGTTTACTAATACCTTTTTAAGTCTTCATTAATTATAATTTCATTTTATTTTTTTTTAGTTTAAAGAAAATTCATTTTATTTTGTTCTTTGTCACATCCTGCTCCTTAAACAATGAAGATGGTGGGAATGACCAGAAAGAATAGAGAAAGGGACGATGAGAGGGAAAATTTGTGTTAAATCAAGTCTATTGTTATTATATAATTTCTTCCTTAGTCCTGTCCATGGGTAATGGAATGGTTAATTACCTTGGTATAATTATTCTCTTTGCCTTTTTCTGATAATGTCTGTCTTCTTTCTTGAAGGTATTAAAGTTGCAGGCATGTAAATATCTCACAGACTCGTCACTTGAACCCCTTTATAAAGGGGGTGCTTTACCGGAACTTAAGGAGTTGGACTTGTCTTATGTAACACTCTGTCAGTCTGCCATAGAGGAGCTTCTTTCTTGCTGCACACACCTTACACATGTGAGCTTGAATGGCTGTGTGAATATGCATGATTTAAACTGGGGATGCAGTCGAGGGAAGGTTGCTGAATTACCCGGTGTAAACATCCTATCCATTGCTAGTTCCCATGAGAATGCCCATGAGTTGAGTGAGCAACCCACCCGATTACTGCAGAACCTGAACTGTGTGGGATGTCCAAATATTCGGAAGGTTTATATCCCATCAACAGCACATTGTTCCCATTTGTTGGTTTTAAACCTTTCTCTATCGGCTAATTTGAAGGAGGTTGATATAGCTTGTCTCAACCTATGCGGGCTTATTTTAAGGTAGGTTGGTTCTCTAATAAATATGGACTGGTTTCTATCCTTATCATAACAGGTGATAATGTTTTAACTTGTGTATTCAGCAATTGTTCTTCTTTGGAAGTTTTGAAGCTAGAGTGTCCAAGGTTGACCAGTTTACTCCTTCAGGTAATAGTTCTCTGCCAATTTAAATATATGTTATGGTTCTTGCAGTCAAGTCTTATTTTTCAGAGATATTATTTTAATATACTGTAGTTATATGTTTGTCATATCTCTTTTGCATTACAATTATCATTAGCTATAATGTGAAATTTACGAGTGTTAACTATCATCTTTTCAGCACGTATGGAATGTGTGTGATCAAAGGGATATTGTCAATCGTTAAATTGACTTCAATTTATAGTTGAATTCTTGTTAATCCGCCATTGATTCAATTTTGTGCAATAACTTGCTTTATTAACATATTTGCCTTTTTTTTTTTTTCTTTTTTTTGGGGGGGGGGGGGGTAATTTGGGTTTTTTAAGTCTTGCAATATTGATGAGGAAGCTGTTGAAGCTGCTATATCAAAATGCACTATGCTGGAAACTCTTGATGTTCGCTTTTGTCCAAAGGTGAGAGCACATGCCTATAACATTTGAAGTGGTGCTTTCATTTAAGTTTAGCTGGTGGACCTTTTCATACATGATGGATGGAACGTTTTGATGTTTGACCATTTCTGTTTTTATCATGTTCATAATCTATTTACGGTATATTCTATGGTGCTTTACAGATAAGCTCAATCAGCATGGGAAGATTGCGCGCATCATGTTCCAGTTTGAAGCGCATATTCAGCAGCTTGTCAACTTCATGAACTTAACCAAGGATCTTTGAAGTTTTCCAGTGCTTTTCACTTGGAGTGAAAGCACGCTTGGTAATAAATCTGGTTATTTCCTTATGTATTGTAAATGGTTAACTTCTTATTGTTGGTGTTTGTTTGGCATATAGAAATCAGGTTATCTTTTATGGATTGTTACAATAAATTATCGTTGTTCTACTTGTTACTCGTGTAAATTTAAGTTTCAATTTTGTTGATGCATGTTATATTCTAAAGTATAGTCTAACCTTTTTTTGTTGTAAATAGGTGTATCTGATCCCTTGCGTATCATGACCTTGCAATAGTCACATTATTTATGCTGTAAATTTTGTACTATGATATACTGGCATTTATATTTTGATTCATGTGATTTTCTTGGACGTCGCTATGGACATTGATATGTAGACATTTTTATTTGGGCAAAATTACTATTTCCTCCCAGAGGTTTAATGAAATTTTATTCAACACCCTTTCTTTTTCTGACCATGCACTAAACATCCCTTAATTTATGAAACAATATAACACCTAATACCCTCTTTATTATAGACCACCCTCAATTTCTTGTGCAGTTTTATGAGTTAAGGGAAGTTAAAAGTATTGTAAAAAAAGGCCAAGTATCGGCTAAAATTTTGTTAAAATTTTAAGGGTATGAATGTAATTCATCTTTTTTTTTTTTGAAATTTTGATTATACATGAAGTTTGAATGGAACCCCTGGGGATTATTTGATTAAATAAAGCGTATAATTCAGAAAAATCCCACTACCGATCCTCCATTAATTCTGAAATCGTCACTGCCAATTCTGAAAAGTCGTTCGCAAGCAACATTTGTATAAGGATTCATAAGAGGTTCATAATATCTGAAAGGGGAATTTCGGGGGTGGATTTCATATTTTCTATTCCTTGAAATTCCTTTATCATGAGAAACGGTTTGACAAATTTCTAGTAGAATCTTACAGCTGGATATACTCGAGGATATCATTTGATAAATTCCGTTGCCTTGAGAAACTAATAGTATAGTGGGCTTCAAATCTCAAATTGGTGGGACAGTTTCGGCTTGGTCCAGTTCTACGTACAGTTTCCGTATTGTGCTTAAAATTCTTGACAAAACACGGAGATGTATAAAAAATTTATAAGAAATTCTTCAGCCTTTTTTTTTTTTTAATTTCGAGTAGTTACTCAAACAAGGGATTCGGCTTTAGTCTAAAGTAAGGGTGTATTTTAGATTATAATATGTGAAATTGTGAAATTATAACCATTTTTTTTATCAATAATTGAGATTGTAATGATTAGTAAATTGTGACGTATAATTTCTTATTTAATGAAGATTCAGATCAGTAGGTTGTTAAAATCTTAACTATTAGTTTTCTCAACGAAAATTGTTGTAATTTATCCTTACATCATCTTCCTTAAGTAAGGTAAATGCTTATTTGTGAATTATTATTATTATTATTATTATTATTATTATTTTGGAATGAGAAATATTTTTTTTGCTTCATAATATTTCGATTATGAGAAGCCTTATTGGTTTTTGAGCAATATTTTAACAATGATATTAGGAAGGCTACATGTAGTGATGAGGATAGAAGCAATCTAAAATCCTTGAGAATCATTTGACGCTGTGTGAGAGAGACTCAAGAGAGCCACTGTTTATGCATGCCCCTAACTCCGATTCTTGATATTCCAATGACTCATTTGTTTTGAAGTTGAATAGAAATTATTTTAGATTGTGGAACGTATTGTCTACTTGGTTTAAAGTTGAGTAAAAATAACTTTATTAAAATTGATTTTAAACCGTTGAATATTTTTAGATATGTGTATAATTAATTTGAATCACATTTTTTATATTTGAAATTTGTGTTTCTCATTAAAAAGTGTAAGAAATGATTCCCCAACTATCAAATAAACAAGGCTATAATCTCATAGATTTTTGTGCCTCGACCATCCAACCCGTGAATATAATGGGTCAATCCGCGTCATTCTCATTCATTCATTTTGAAAATTGAAACAAAAGCCCTAAGATCCAAGTTCCTAACCTTACTCTCACTGTCACAATCCCAAACGACCGTCGTGTTTGCAGGTTTATCCATCTTCATTCATTATATAGTTAGTGGCCATCATATATGACTTTTAAAGTAATTACGATAAAAGTTAATATTTTTTTCATAAGTAGTTGTCACTGTAAATACAGTGTCCATGTATTCCAATTAAATCCTATAAGAGAGAGAAAATATGTCATTCGAGAAGAATTTGTAATGATCTAAAGGGCTCACAGAAAAGTCTTGGCTCCTCATGGTTCATTTATTTTATTGCTTTGGACACTGATTCTATCTTCTCGTGTAGTAAATCTTAGGACCAAATGGGAAAGGAAAAAAAAAATGAATATTGAGGAAGTCAATATATCTTTGTAGAGGTAGTGAGTAAATCAGTAAATGTCCTATGAGGAATAGAAACAATAACCTTTTCTTTTTTGGGTCAACAAAGCTAGAACCTCAAAATGTTAAAAAAATAACAAAGAACAAGTAAATAAACTTCTAAAGATGCACTAAAGTCCAAGCAAGTTTCTAATAAGCGTTTATAGGAGAAAGATTATTTATTTTTTATAAATTAAAAGCAACTTATATTTTTATGTTCTAAGAAGATAAATGACAAAACTTCTGAAAAAATAATAATAAAAAAGTTAATTTTAAATTATGAAATAATTTTGATTCATTTTATTGCTTATTTTTTTAACTCTTAAAAATACTCGATGATAAGTTTATTGCATAGAGAATGATTAATCACTCAACAGTAAGAGGATTGTTAACAAGTTGTTGCATATCTCTTACAACAGGGTTTAAGCATGCCAACTTCTTACATTGATGATGCTTTACATTTCAAAACCAGAAAGAGAACAATAAGAATCAAAACAATACCACCAGAAGAACCACCAACTCTATGAATCCAGTAACGATCAAACCTTGTGAAGTTGCGGTCAAGAAAAGCTGATAAAGCTATGGCTATAATCAACACAAAGAGCAAAAATGGTAACCAAAAAGCAACGTTTATGGGTTGCTCATTATCTTCCAGTTCACTATCTGGTTTCCTATCTATATAGAGAGGAGAAGCCACAGCTAGAATGACTAAGCTTATGGCTGCCACTCTCTCACAAGAAGAAAATTTGCTCCTCTTGCGACTACCTTCAAGTTCCATTAAGTGGATTGATGATGAATGAGTTTCCTTGGTTTTGGGGGTCTTAGTTTTGTTATGCTGAAATATGTGTATTGTGGAACGGAGCTGCCACCAAAAATGTTCATTTGGTAAGGGAATCCTGCTTTTCAAAGTAAACTTGAACCAGCATCACACACCCTACTATTTTTATTTTTATTTTTCGTCATTGTTCGAAAGGGAACATTCTATTTTAAATATATTTTTTATTATTAGCTAAACTTTATTAGAAATCATAAAATTTATGTGTGTATTATTTATAATTTAATGATATAAAAGTGTTAAAATGATATAACATTGTTGAGATGCCTATAAATTAAAATTCATTCATGAACAATTGTGGTATAAGTATTCTTAGAACAGAATTAATTTTGTTGTTTGAGAAATGCTAATAACACAGTCTTTTTTATATTTTTTATTAATTAAAATTTATTAAAAACTATAAAAATTATGAGTCTCAATTTTTTCATTACTAACTTAATAATTAATTCTTTTATATTTTTATAATTTTTAAAAAAAATTAGTTAATAATTAGAAATTTGTTAAAACAATTTTGTTACTGTGGCCTTTAGGTTACTCTTGTTGTGTGACAGAATTGAATAGAACAATTTTGTTCTCTTTAGTTTTGCTTATTTCACTGGAACCAAAATATATCACTTTCAGTGCAACCCAATATCATGTTTTGTTCTATTTTTCATACACACAACCACACATAGACCATATGTTATGTTTTGTTTCTATTTAACATGTCAACCAAATCTTACCTGTATAATGCAACTACATAAAGAAAAATTGTAATGTGTGCAGACTCTTCACTCACTTATATGTGATATTTGGCATGGAGCTAATCTACACATTACATATAATTTTCTTTGGTACTGTTAATAAGGATTGTGAAGGAACATTTTACATATAAAAAAGTTGTTGAGGATAAAATGCATGAGAATAAGAAGAGATGGATTTTAGTGGAAAGTGGGGGCACTCTTACCTGCAGGAAGGAATCTCCTATGACATTAGAAAGAGCATGTATTATGTGAAAGGTAGCAATTGGTCCTGTTTTTATGTAGATGAGATTCTCCATTGAAAAAGCTCAGTGTTCGGTGCTTGCTTAAAGTTTTATGACGAATCTGATGCTCTTTCTTCGCTATTAGATGTCCACAATATTACACCATCAAATTATAAGAAATTAAAACTCGTCACTTTTTTTAATTTCTTATAATATCTCACTTTTTAGTTCAAAAAGAAAGAGAGAGGAGAGAAATTATCATAGAAGGAAAGAAAGAGAAAGGAAGAAATTTTAATGAAAAAAAATATTATTTAATTTTATAAGAGGAGTTGGGAGAGGAGAAGTGATGGAGAAAAAAAATTACTATACTTTCCAATAATATTACTTCACCTTGGATCCTTCTTCCGTATGATATTAATTTCTTAAATAAACTTGTAAAAAAGTCTTTACATGAGAAAAAATAATATAAAAATATTTTTTCATAAATTTTAAAAAATATTTTTTTAAATTGTAAAAAAGTTAAATGAAGGAATTTCTCAAAAAATAAAAAAATATAAGTCATTTCTAACTTATAAAAAATTTATTCATTTTTTTTTTCTGTAAAGATTCCTCTAAAAATTTATACAACTGGACCAAAATCTTAGATCTCATGCTTAAACATCCAACCATTCAGATTGATATATATTAATTACGACAAATTATAGTGATATTACTTAAATTTTAATAAAAATTTACTTGATATTTTTTAATTTTTTTATCATATATATATATATATATTAATTTATATAATAATATAATATTCTATACACGTTTTTATAATATATTTTTTATGCAGTTATATAAATTAAGAAATATTAAATTAATGTAAAAAATGAGATATTGAGTAAAATTTTGTCAAGAAATGTGAATTTAATTTTCTCTATTAATTAATACCTACTCACCACCTGTATTTACATTGTTGTCATATGAACTTAATTTATTTGAAAAATAAAATAAATATATATATAAGTAATAAATCATGAATTAAGAATAAAATACTAAATTTAAATACCCAACTATTTGCATGCATTTAATAATTTCTACACACCTGATCACAACTGATAAGACATTTATTGCACTTAATATTTGGGGGGGAATTAATTGTACAACTGTTTTGAGCAATGCCTTTTTAGTAATTAGGCCTAGTTCTTGGGTTCAATCAGAAAGCAGCAGCATATTTTTATCAGTGTTGATGACCTTAGACAAGCAATTGAAATGCAAGCATATATGTGTCCTTGATTGAGATCTCATACATCTGCAGAGAACTAACATAGAAGACCTTAGACAAGCAATTGAAGTGCAGACCCATGTTCCATATCATAGTCTTAATCGCTATTGTTTTAAAGTTAAAATTAATATTTGCACTTTTTAATAATTAAAAAAAAACACATTTCAATAATAGATGTCCTTCAAATTAATTCAAGCTCAGATCTCAATCATATTTATAAGTTCAATCAAATACTTATAAAACAAATTCATATGAAAAAGATAAAGCATTAAAAGAAAGACTTGAGTACAAAATTGGCAAGTAAGTTGTAGGCACAAAGATTAAAATAATACATTTCTAAAAAATAATTATCAAATTAAAACAAAATTAAAACATATTCCCTGTCTGGGGTATTTTTTAGCCACGTCAGCACTGATTTCGTATATTAATCAGACGAAATTATTTTTTTTATTTTAAATTTATTCATTTCGTCTAAAAGAGGGACGAAATAAGTTAAATATTGACATCTGTCATGCATTTCGTATATGTAAGAGGCGAAACGATGGACATGTGTCAAGTTACTATTAATTCGTCTCAATTTAGGACGAAATCTTAGGATCTGGACACGTGGTTAAATCTTATTATTTCGTCTGTAAAAGAGACGAAAAAGGTCCGTAATTCGTCTCTAATTTAGACAAAAAGCATTTCACTTTTTTTTGTCCGCTGGTCTGTCCCTTGTGGCTGCACCCTTTTGTCCAACCAAATGTTACTATATAAAGTGTGAAATGGGGGACATTGACAATTGAAATCACGGTGAAAGTGTTTGAAAACCACATTGAAAGGGCAAGGTTATACGTTTGAAGATTGGGAAAGTTTTGAGGTTAGTAATATTTACAATTTTTTGTAATATTTTTGTAATTAAAAAGTTTTAATTATTTAATTAGAAATAGTTAAAATTTATGAATATTTAATAAATATATTTTTATGTAGATTGAAATTAAAAAATAACATTTTAGATAATTAATAAAAAATTTAAAAGTTTATAGATATTTAATATAATTTTGTTTAATTAAAAAAATAATGTTAGAGTTGTTGTGAATATTTTATTTTATATATGTGAAATATATATTAAAAATATTACATTTTATATAATATAAAATAATGTGAAAAATAAAAATATGTTTGTGTGTTACAAATAATTTATTTATATTATTTATATAAATAAGTATAATTGTAAATAAATATTGATTTTTTTTTATAAATAAGTATAATTGTAAATAAATATTGATATGTTTTTTTTATAAATAAGTATAATTGTAAATAATTATTGATATGTTTTTTTTATAAATGCAGGATGAATGATATTATTATTATTGTGTATTGGAATGAAAAAATTGCTGTTGGAAACGAAGGTGTGACATTTGAAGGTAACAAAAAAATGATAAAGATAAGAAGAGGGATAAGTTATATGAATTTAAAGAAAAAGATTCATGACAAGTTGAATCTTAGTAATGATCATGTCATATCTAGAATAATTTCTCGTTTTATGGTTGATTCAAGCGCTAAACAATACAATGCATTGGATATATGTGATGATGAAGACATTGATTGTATGATTAGTGCGTATCAACAACAAAATATTACAACTTTTATTGAATTATACGTGGATATTGCATTTGGTGAGAGTTCAAGAGGTGGGTCGAATATGTTGGACTTAAGCTTATCAATGTCACCGCCTAACCCTATGGAAATTCTCAATATAAATGTTACAGAAGGTATAAATTATATTGTTGTAATTTATTTTTAATTTTTTTTAGTTACAATACATATTGAAAAAGTGTTTGTATTTTGAAGGATATAGAGATTTATGCAGTTATGAAGATGAAGATGATGAAGTCAATAGTGATGATGAAATCCATAGTGATGATGAGACAGATGATATTGATGAAGGACATATTCCATTAGATAGCTCATCAGATACAGACATTGATGGTGAATTTGATTCAAACTTAAATTTACAACAAGAAAATGTTGGAGGTAACATTTAAAAAATATATTGATTAAATTGTTTATTTGTTATAAATGATGAATATTGTATGTTTAAATGTAGTTGTAGGTGAAATACCTTTTTGGAATGTAAGTCCACATTACAAATCTATTAATTGGGACCACCCAGACGAAGAAATTGAAGCTGAAGAAATTAGTGAAGATAATTCATGGGTTATTGGAGATGCGTTACATGTGGGTTTGTTATTTGACTCAAAAGATGAAGTTAAAAATGCCTTAAAACAACATGCAATGAGAATACATCAGAATTATTTTGTTGTTGAGTCAAAACCAACAAAGTTGCATGTGAGGTGTTTAAACCATAACAACGGTTGCCCATGGAGAATAAGAGCATCATTGCTTAAAAATTCAATCAAGTGGAAAATAACAAGGTGTGGCGGTAAGCATACATGTCTCAACCCTACAATCTCTCAAGATCATACCAAACTAGATTCAGATTTGATTTCGTCATGCATAATTGGTAAGTTTTGAATAATATCTTATTTTGTCACATCTTTTTTCTATAAAGATACTTAGTTCAATTTTTATTGTTGTTTTGTGCAGGTATGGTTAATCTTGAACCATCATTGCCTATAAGTCTAATTCAAGAAAGGATGACAACTCAATTTGGATATAAAATTTCATACAAAAAAGCTTGGAAGGCAAAACAAAAGGCAATTGTAAGAATATTTGGTGATTGGGATGAATCATATGCGACATTACCAAGATGGTTAGAGTATATGCAATTTCATGCTCCAGGTTCTATTTATAAGATTGAAACGAAGCCATTTGTTGTTGGACATCAGGAGGACAACAGATTTAGAGTATTTGAGCGATTGTTTTGGTGTTTTCATCAATGCAAGGAAGCATTCAACTTTTGCAAACCTATTATTCAAATATATGGAACATTTTTATATGGTAAGTATCGTCATACATTGTTGATTGCAACAACACAAGATGGGAATAATTGTGTCCTACCACTAGCATTTGCTATTGTTGAAGGGGAGACTCTGCCAACATGGGAATGGTTTTTGGCAATGATTCGTGTCCATGTAACAAACAAGACAGGATGAAGGATCTCCTCTGGAACACCATCCAAACCAGCTGGAATAAATTGACTCTTCCTAACCTTCAAAATAGGATGATCCCGACCATCCCAAATATGTTCAGACACATGAATATTCTGTAAGCGCAATAATGAAGGATCATCTGGTCTAGGATGAATAATCCTATTCTGTCCTGAAGATGAAGCCATCTACACAAAATATAAAATATATCATGGTCAAAATTTTAAACTTTAATATAAATTATACAAAATAATTTCATATCATGCATCAAGTATAATACCCCAAACTGTTCTTTCTTCATCACATAATTTAAATACAAAAACTATTTATAACATTTTAATCATTGTAATACAAATAAAATCAAATAAAATTATTCATAATCTTTAAGTTGTTTTTTTAATCATTGTAATATAAATAAAATAAAAAACAATTATTCATAACATTTTATTCATTTTAATCATTGTAAATCAAATACAATAAAACTGTTCATTACTACATTTGAATATTTTATGAATTTTTTTCCTAGATTTAACATGTCTTTTTAAACTTAGTATATCAAAAGAAATTAATATATTAATTAAAAACTATAAACATTCAAAATTTTGTAGTACTTCCCATGATAGATCTTATATCATACAATAACAAGATTAATTAATAAGTTGTTTGTTTTAAATTATTTTTTGTTCATCATTTATTAAATTATATAATTATCAGTAATTAACTTAAACTAATTACAATCATTTTAAAAATTTATATTCTACATTCAAATTTTTTTCTTTCTAAATTAAATTATATAATTATAAATAATTTATTTCAACTAATTTATATATCTCTGTTTCTTTATATTAGATAACTAATTTTCTTATCAGTGTTGTTAATTTTAATACTTTCAATTTTTAATATAAATTTTTTTAATTATCTAATTTTTTTCTTTAATTATAAATAAATATATCTATTTACGTATTTTAATCATAATTAATTTAAATAAAGAATTTATGTTATAAGTTTTATACACTATTTTCTAATTATCATTTCTTATATAATTAATCAACCAATTTGATATAATTATTTTCTAATTTTCTATTCTAAATTTTATTTAACTATTTAATATTGTTTTTAATTTTTTAAATTATTTTTAAGTTGTCTTTTAATTTACACCTCAATTTAGTAGAATAATTCTAAATGCAGCTTAATTTTTAATATAAACATCACTATAAAAATTTAATTTTACAAATTTTGTTTATTTTTAAATTTCTATAAAATTACCAAAATTATTTTTATTATATTTTTAATCTAAATATTACTATCAGATTTTTTCTACAAGGTAAAAATGTAATAAATTTAGTTCTCATATTTCTATTATTAATATCAATTTTAAAATTAAAATTTATCTCATTAATCAATTTATTTTTCTTTTTTCCTAAATTTTTAATCAAAATTTTACGTTTTTCTATTTAAAAAAAATATACAAAATTTTTTCCATACCTCAGTTGCAGATTTCAGGCGCCGGAGATGGCGGTTTCCGGCGAGTAAGAGTTCCCTGGAATAGCGGCAAGTTTCCTGCACTATGTTCTCTCTCCGACTCTTCCCCTTTAACACTGACTGTGTAGCAGATTTAAGTTCTCCCGACCTCCTCCAAATTTTAATTCAAAAATATCTTCACTCACTGCAAATGAAGGGAATGTGAACACGATTCTGCAACGGATGAAGATTCTCACTCAAAAATCAAGCTAAAACAACCAAAAATTTGCTACCCACGGCAGAAATTTGCTACCCACGAAGCTGTGAACGGAAAAAATGGAGGTTTGCAATCGCAGAAGGGGGAGAAGGGAAGGCCTCCACTGACACGTGGCCCAATCAATAAGTTTCGTCGCTGACTAAGACGAAATCCATTATTTGTCCTGATCAGAGACGAAATATGTTGATTGACCCACGTGTCTGGAGGCGGGAATCTTTAATTCAAAATTTTTCCCGTTTTCGTTTTATTCTTATACGAATTCATGCTACACGTGTCCAGATTTGCAGCATTTCGTCCCTTTTCTAGGCGATTTCAATAAATAAATAATAAAAATTTAATTTCGCCCACTTTATATACGAATTCAGAGCTGACGTGGCCAAAAAAGACCCCAGACAGGGAATAAGTTTTATTTTTGTTTTAATTTGATAATTATTTTTTAAAAATGTCTTATTTTGATCATTAAGCCTAAGTTGTATCAATATATGAGTATCAACCCCCACCATCTGCCCCAGATTCACCCCCATGATCATGACAATGACCATGATCCTGACCACGACCACTTCCATCTTGACCTTCAGTGACACTCATCAAAGACACATGGGCTGAAGTCACCACTGCAACAGCCACTCCTGCATCAGTGCTAGCAATTGTGTTGGTTCCATCAACATTGTTGCCAGCACCATCACCAGCAGGAATTGTTGAAGCAACCCCTTTGGTTCTTCCCCTGTTAGAAGCCTTTACATGAGACACTTTCTCTAATTCTTCCACCTCATTTTCCTTACTCTTCTTGCTGTGCCCTCTGATGCAGAAACAAATGCTTTTGCATTTCATGCTGGGAAAAGGGTAAGATTTCAGAGGAAAAATAAAAGAAATTGGAAAAGACCATGTTGCCAACTTACCTCCTTTCTCTCTTTTATAACAAAACCAATCAACCATTAAAACTTTCTTATGAAGTCTTATAATAATTTTTTAATGCCTTTGCTTTTCATTATAAAAATAAGTCACCAGACTAACCGGCATTGATTGATTAGGTCTTGTCCACGCATGGTTGCTTTGTAACTAGGTAGGTATAATCTAATTTAACCTATGAATCTTACCAAAAAAAAAACACAGTGAACTTACATATAAACTATACAAAATTGTATCAATTCTTAAAGTTCAATATGTTAGAATCTTGATAAAAATTAAATTAAAATAAATATCATTATATATTCACTTGTACACTTTATAAGCATGTTTGTGTTGAAATAATCTTTTCCTAGCTGTTGCTTTTCAGGTTCTTCTTTACTTGGTCTGTTCAAACTTTTTCCAAATATTCAACATCTATTTAAAGTAAGGAAGGTAAAAAGTGCTTTGGTTTTTTTTCTTTTTTAATTCAATGTGAACCAGTACAATGAACATCGATGCCATTGAAGACTGAACCACGTTATAGTTTGGGTTAAAAATAAATAAATTTTTAAAGCATCAGTAGATTTTATGATTGTTGTCTTGTTTGACAGTTAGTTCTCTACGTGAAGAAGCACATATATAACATTAAAAAAAACCAAAAACAAAAACTCAATAACAGATTGTTCTTTAATCTAACTTACTTTTTATTATTAAGTAAAGTTTATATCATTCAGTGACTTTAACATGAATTTCATCTAATAAAAACAAAGTGTTGCTAACCTTTCTCTTATAAATCAACGTTGTCACACCCACTTATATCATCCACATGGGTTACCCACTTTTTCATTGATAGTATGCATGTTCTGTCATAGACAGGGTGTTTCACATGTTATAATCCAACATTGTCATAAATATGCATATTGTTTCTGCTTAACATACTATCAGTCAAAAAGTGAGCAATCACTAAGACGTCAAACAAAGTTGATTAATTGAGTATAAAGCGTTTTAGACAACCCATGGAAACATCTAGGTGAATTTCTTGGATCATGAAAACACCTTTTGAATTATTATTTGAAGAAAGTAACGACTTGCATAATTGATGTGTCATACCTAAATTATGGAATGTAAGAGTATTATTTTACATCAAACATATGTAATAATCTCAAACTTCAGTACACTTGGCGCATATTTTAATAGCGTCATTTATACCAAAAATCCAACGAAAGAAATCTGAAGGCTAAAATGATACGAGTGAATGGCACCTGAAAAGCCAAGACTCAAATTTTATTTTCCAAATTTTCAACTGAGCAATTGTCGATATCAAACTAGTAGGTAATTTCTCCAACATCAAACAAGATGTTTGCATGTTAATTTCAGATTTTAGGATTGAGTTTAAACAATTAATGATAGTAATATTTTGTTGAAAAATATTTATTACATTTTTATAACTTTAATATAATAAATATGTTTATTTAATAAAAATACAGTACTTTTTAAAATGCTTAAATTCAATCCTATTAAAGCTGAGGTTAACAAAATGTAACTTCTAAAATCAATTGCTCTCCTCGATGGTCACTTTCCATTGCAATATTTATGATTTAGATTGGTTTAAACATCATCCCAGTTGCATGTAACCGTTTAAAATCAATTTTATCAAAATCAACTCTATCCTCTCATCATACCACGCTCTTCATTCTGCGAAGGACAGTCATCACCTGCATGATCATAGATCAGCATAATAATAGTAGTAAGAAACAAAACTCTTTACAGTATGGAACTGCTATGCTTGTTCATGAAATCATAGTGTATGCACGCTAAAGAAAGAACTCAACACAGTACAAATGTCAAAATAAAAAATATACAACAGTACACAAAATTATTTCATCAGCTATAATAATATATATGACTGACAAACTTAAGAAACTAGAAAGAGGATGTCATCTAAATTGTCAAACGAACCCATATTTTACACAACACAAAAGAATTTCCACCTCTGGCACACAAATAATTAGCACAATAACAGTGAAACTATATTTCATTTATTTAAGAACCCTTAATACAAAAGTTCTCTTATACATATTTACCTGAGCGCAAATCCTTACAATTTGAACACTGAATTGACAGTGTTTTCCACCCTTAAACATTCGACAGGTAAAACTCAAAACCTTCCTACCATTTTCACTTCCCTCCTTATCAAACCTTCTCAAACAGGCATAACAGTGAACACATATACTAGTAAATTTGCTAATTTCTTGCCATAATTGATTAGCTTACAGATACAAAAGATTGAAAGTTCACCGCATACTCATATTAAAGAAGATTTTTTCACAAAAAAAAAAAAAAAAAACTGCCTTGTGAGCCTCATCTGAGACTTCTGCATATACACAAATGAGGGTCAATACCATGTTACAATGTACCAATTCCAATTCAAATGCATGTGAATTGGAATAAAATGGAGTCCATAGGCATAGGCAACCTTGCTAGCAAAAATACACTCATCAGTACAATGAAGAATTAATGTCACAAATCCATGGCTAGATATGAATTTACATTAGTCAAAGTCAGAAAACAGTAATAGGAGACCGCTCCTAGTAAATTTTAGATGTTGGTTTCTTATAAAATCAACTAACAGTTGAGTAATAGAATGCATCCACCAATCTCTTCTGTGGCTTTAAAGAAGTTGAGTTCATGGGTATGTCATGTCATTGAGATAGAAGGATGGTATGAAGCATCCAAGACGAGCAACTGCTTACATAAATGGTTGGAAGCATGCTTTATCATTTTAACTTTAAGACTTAACAAATTTATTATAGATCATACAGCAGTTTTCATTAGCAGAATCTGCACCCTCTTATGACATAGAGTTCAGTATTTATTCCAACCATCCTTTTGGAAGTGCTTCCAAGAAACAAATTAGCACAAAGGAGTGTCTAGGAAGATTTTGTGAAAATTCAGGGCAAAAAGTCAATGCATCCAAAATCATTATCTTTTTTCTTAAGGAATGTGGTCATTTTATACAAGGAGACGTATATATTGTTGACATCACTGGTTTGCTGAGACTTCTGATATATTTATATATATATATATCAACACATCACACCCGAATCTTAAAATAATCATCAGTCCTCAGATTAAAGGGATTAACACTTCCACAACCAAATCCACATTCGTTCCATTGTATATGCAGTCCCAAAACAGCACAACCTTAGCAATTATTGATATTCAGTTTTTATTTCAAAAGAACAAACTCCTACAGGAACAAGCCATCAATCAAACAAAATTGGTAACAGTGTAACACACAAACATGAAACTTCATAAAGAAAAAAGAGCAACTACAAACAAACAAATTACAAATACATCATGTAACTATTTATTATACAATCACTTCATATTGCAATATCACCTCAAAGAGCGACCACAACATGCTTTTATCATCAGTAACAGACAGTAATAATGTTTGATAACAAATTATTATTGAAAAACAATTACTTAGTTTTTAAAGTTTAAAAACACATTTAATTCCTAAGGTTGTCTCTTATTTATAAACTAGTCTATATATTTAAAAGAAACTGACCTTTTAGTCTAAAATATAACAAAATGAGTATCAAATATAAGAATAGGAACTAAATTTATATTTTAATTTTTAAAAAGTATTTTTAAAAGTTGATAAAAATAAATAACTATTTTTTTCAAAATAAGCTAAACCACACACGCTTAATGTTATTCTTCCATTTTGATCTCAGCAAGAAGCAACAAATTTCACTGTGTGACAATGTCACTGAAGAAAGAACACTGAAAAAACAACAAATGGTGATTCGGGTTCACGGGTCAATTCTAACCCGTGCCAATTGGATATCGAAACCTGAGATTGTGACTAACGTGAAAGACAGTGTCCAATTGCCACTCTTCTTTTGGCAAGAGTGGGCCACTGGGGCCCGGGTGATGGGACTGGGCCGAGTGTGATGTTGGGCCTAAGAACACTCCTAACCGCCTGCTTAATATACCTTACCTAGTACCTACCTCCAATGTAGATTGTGCAATCAATCAATCAAACAATTATTATCAGAACTGAAGTTCTTATTTTCTTATTTGCCACTAAAATAAATGCCGTTCTTTATTAAAAAAATAAAAATAAAGTATATACAAGAAATCAAAAGTATAGATCATAAATATAGTTTTAATGGAAACATTAACATGCCAACAAGTTAGAAGTCCAGCTGCCACCGGTTTTATTCTCTAAACTGAAAGTCTAATAATAATGACCAAAAACATATGATCCTTCTTTATATTAAAAAAAATTAAATGTTTTTTATGATCGTAACATTAGTTTGTAATAGAGATAAAATTCAAGAGAAATGAAAATCATTCGAATTACCATATTTGAATGTTGTTAATTTTATAAAAACAACATATATATACAGTATTAAATTTATCATTATGATAAACACTCAAAATTTCATAATATAATTATTATATTTGTACATTATTTTTCTCAATAAAAGCATTCAAAGAATAATTTAAATGATAAACAGAAATGTAAATAATAATTTGAAAAATGCATGAAATTATCCTCTCCCACCATTTTTTAACGTGGTTATGTTCCAAAGTGGGATATTATTCTTTCCGGATCTGATTTCACACCGGAAAACTATTTATTACATTGATTGATTTTATTAACCTTGATCTTTAAAATTTAACTTAAGTATTTAAAATTTTTTTATTAAAAAATATTTATTATATTAAAAATATAATAAATATTATAATTTATTTTTTAAATTCAACCTAAAAACTAAGGTTAATTATAAGTTATTTGAAATACATTTGCAATTAAGAGGGAGAATTATGGGACCCAAGAAACCTTAAATGTACACATTAAATGGGCACGTGACTGGGAACAATTGTTGTTGAGAGGGCCTTCTGCCAAAACGCTTTGCATGTGATTG